AACAGCTGTGATTTTGCATGCTACTCCATCTTACTGCAATGTGTAACACCACTGGCACTATGACACTTGGCCACCTCTAATTTGGCAGGGATCACAAAGAAGATGAATCCTGAAAAGGTGAGGCAAATAGCATAATCTACTGACCTTGCTTAGACTCAGTCTAAAATTCACAGTAACTAGAAAAATTTGGAGAACATAAGGAATAAGCATGCAATCTCCATCAACATCACATTCAGTAAAAAACATATAACAATATCCACAAAATCTAAAGAAAACACATAATCTATCTTTTAAGTCTGGATTCAAATTTTAATCTCATTTTAATGGGCTACTGCCATGAAGACAAGACAATTTTAGGGAAAAATTACGCACAGAATAAATGTAAAAGTTTCCTGGTGATTCTCACTAAGGCTTCAATGTATTTACCTACTGAAACAATCAAACAAGCGCTTTGCAAAAAGATTTGGTATTGGTGTCAGAAAAATGTAAGAAATGAAACTATTTGTAATGCAAAAATTTTGTTTAAAACAGATACATCACTTCTTATTTTTCTCATTTTGAAAAGAAGCAATGTTTCATCCAGCAATAATTCTTCCCTCATTCTATCAGAGAATTTCTACAAGAGCAGTATTTCAAGTAAAATCAGTTCTGAAGGATCTTTTATGAATACACATAATACCTAAGACCCCAATTAAATTTCCAACAAAGCACTGCCATTTTGAGTAAACAAAGTCATCTCAGTAGGGTCACACTATTTGCGAGGACTGCAGCCTAGAAATTAATTACTAGCGTGACATATGTCAAAACAAATTTTTAAAAGAACAGAACATAGTTGTAACCATGTATTTTATCTATCTGTTTGTATGCAAACCAGTAATCTATAGAATGTAAATATGTTGATTTATTCAGATGATCTTAGAAAAACCAGAAAGGTTTATTGCCCTCCTTTTTCCTGTACACAGGTAAATCTGAGTAAACAACACATGTTTCGTGAATCAGAAAATCACTAAAGAATGAAGATAAGGTACGGGTGATATTTTTCAAAGGCAGAAGTCATCTTCATGTAAATAACTACTACTTTTGAAACATTCAGGCTGCCTTCAAAAGAGGTTCTTCAAAGATCTACCCTAATTCAAGGTTGTAACCCTGCAGAAATCAAAAGCTTCAAATAATACATAACAGTTCTGATGTTACACAAAGAAAACTATAATCTAAAAAAAGCAGACTCTAACTTACAGTTAAAAAAATAATAACCTGAGAATAAAAGTAAAGATTTCAAAAATTACAATACATGTAGTTCCCAGATTAGAAATGTCCACTCATGGACAACTCTGTCATACTTTCCCTTTAACATTATGTAAATTTGTCCTCACTGTGCAACCATTAAACCAATCACTACACTGCTCATAACAAATTCCTTATCATGATCACCTTCACTTGGTGTGTGTGTGCAGCTTTTAAATCACTAAAAAGGCTTGGAGACTTTTCCTGCAGTAAACCTACTGCCACTGAGTCAATTCTGACTCACAGCAACCCTACAGGACAGAGTGGAACTTCCCCACAGGTTTCCAAAGCTATAAATCTTTACAGAAGCAGATTGCTTCATCTTTCTCTGGCAAAGCAGCTGGTCAGTTTGAACTGTAGATCTTCTGGTTAGCAGCCAAATGTTTTAACAACTATACCACCAGAGCTCTCTTGCACTAAAAAAACAAAAATCCAAACCCATTGATTCAGACTCACAGCAATCCCATTGGGTTTCTAAGGTTGCAAATCTTACAGAAGTACATTTCCTCATCTTCCTCCCACAGAGCAGCTGGTGGGTTTGAACCACAGACTTTTGGGTTAGCAGCCAAATGTCTTACCCACTACGCCACCAGAGGTCCTTCTCTTGCGCTAAAGTAAGACTAAATAAGAACCGTAGGTACCTGTTTCAACTTACCTGCAAATTCTTAAAGGCAAAATTAGGAGCAGATCTTCATAACCCAAGGACTGCCTATATTCTGATAATTATGAGATACTTATTTAAACTAAAAACATTTTTATACATGCAAATGTCTTAGTATTGAAAAAAACTCCACATAAAAAAAAAAAACGAAGACAGTAGATGTATGTAGGCTCCTAATTGTGCTTTAATAGAAAATTAACTCCCAAACCAAAGATTCCTCTTCTCAACTTTTTAATCTATAAATCTATAAATAAACTTTTTAATTTCAAAATAGTTTCTTTTCTCTGAGACAAAAACATGCTTCCTGCAGTAATATACGGAAATTACATATTTATGGTAAAGCTTTGCTTTTTTAGCCATAGAACTTTAGAACAAATTGGTGGGGTGGTTTACCTGGGGGCACAGCATAGAGCCAGGACTCCAATCCAGAGTCAACTCCCACCTCATGATACTTTGTTAACTTCCTTGCTGTCAGCAGGCCAAGAGCTAACTACATGATACAGACTTTTGCAACACTTGGGGCTTAGTAAACTTTATTCATTACTAATTAATTAATTTTGCATATTTCAGTAAGTAACTTGATATCTTACTTTTAGTAAACAGAAAGGAAACAAAAACTCACTGCCGTGGAATCATTTCTTAATATTTCAGCTACAGTAAACACTTAAGCCTCCTTAGAATAACAATGAAATTCTAGGATGAGCCATTCTGACCACAGAATTACTTTCAGCAAACCTACTCCACCCATTCTTCTAGAAGTAAGAAACAAGATAAAACAAAACAATGGCTTTTTTTTTTAAGATCAAAACAAAATGAAGAAAGCCTAAGGTACATGTGGGATACCATTGAAAGGAATAACCTATATGTGATTGGAATTCCAGAACAGGAAGAGAAAAAGAAAACCACTGAAAAAATTGTGCAAGATTTGTTGGAAGAGAACTTCCCTGATATGATGAAAGATGAGAATATATCCATTCAGGATGTCCAACAAACCCCAAACAGGACAGACCCCAAAAGAAAATCATCCAGACATATCATCATCAAATTCACCAAAACCAAAGACAAAGAAAGAATCATGAGAGCAGCAGGGGAAAAACGAAAAGTTACCTACAAGCAGCAACCAATAAATCTAAGCTCAGATTTCTCGGCAGAAACCATGCAGGCGAGAAGACAATGGGATGGAATATAGAAAACCCTGAAAGAGAGAAATGTCCAACCAAGAATTATGTACCCAGCAAAACTGTCCCTCAAATATGATGGTGAAATTAGGACATTTCCAGATAAGCAGAAATTAAAGGAATTTCTTAAAGCCAGACCAACCTTACAAGAGATGCTAACGGGAGTCTTTTGAACAGAGAAGCAACAACAGCCAACAACAACTGACCATTAACACACATGATGACATAACCCAGAAACCAACCCAGCTATGGAAGTATCCAAAGTAAAAAGCCTATAAGATTGTAAACAGGGAACCAGAGACATCAACTGACAAATGAGGACAACTACAAACCAAAAAGAGAGAAAAAACTGTGTCGTTACAGAACTTCTAGATGGTAGGGATATCAAGACAATTGCAAGATAGAACAGACTGTTCTAAACTTGGGAAGAAAACTATAAATCACAGGGTAATCTCAAAATGATAAACGTTCACATCAAAATAAAAAAGAGGACCAGCACAAATATTTAGCAAATACTAAAACAATGGCAGCATAGTGGCTAAGGCACTTGACTGCTAACCAGAAGGCTGGCGGTTCAAACCCACCAGCCACTCCTCGGAAGGAAGGTTGGGCAATCCTACTTCCATAG